TTCCACCCAAGACGGAAATAGTCTCACATTTGTCACACTGAACCAGATGGGGCCCAACTGTAAAGACTGATAAGTGGGACGGGATAGGCTTTGGACTATTTATTTACAGGCAAAATCAACTGTATCACCAGTAATGTTTGTATCAGTTCCAACCAAAGTTTATGCAAGGACGGCAAAGACAAAAGCAGTGCTGAAATGCCACAGCTTGTATGAGTATCCTCCCCACTACAAACCTGTGTTTCCTGTGAGTATTGAGATGCAGATGGGGCTCTTGGGTCTATAATACATGCTGTCAGAGGAGGACATGTGTGTGGGAGGGGGGTAGTCTCCCTCACACATCTGCTAACCTGCTCCTCTAATGGGCCTGCAAATGGGACTCTACGCTCCGGCCTGGATGAGTTTGCTGGAAAACCCAACAGAGGACTGCAAGATAAATCACAATGAAATCGAAATTGCAATTTGAAAAGATGCAACTAGGAAATCTAAAAGGATGCAGTTTTTGAAGTACCATAATTTCCTCCACAAACAAGAAAATATCTGGTCTTTTTCTACTTAAAAACTGAGTGTGTTTGGTCTGGTTGGTTCAAAAGTAGTAGTGTAACGATATCCAAGTCTCATGATACGATATTGTCACGGTACAATATTTATTGCGATATTGTGGGAAAGCTCAAGATATGGTGGGGAGGCTCATGATTAGGGATGTAACAAAAACCAAATCTCTCAGTTCTGTATTTTCCGCACTATAGGGCACCCTGGATTATAAGGCGTGCTCTCATTAAATGGTCTATTTTCAAACTTTCTTCGGACTTTAAATGAAACACAACATGATGGTCAGTCGGACTTTGTTTGTCTCGTTCACGGTGACTCTGGGCTTTGTTCAGTTGTGGCGTTAAGTGGTACATTGCACTCGCTTTTTCGGTTCGTTCCTCTGTTCCGTTCCTCGTCGGTGTGGAGTGATGAGTGTGTCTGCAGGTGTTTGTCGCCGTGTGGTCGCTGTCTGTTCCGTGTGTGTTTGCGTGCGCTGCTGGTGGTGCGGCTTTGTAGTTTACTGAAGTCGTGCTGGGACACTCGAGTGGATTCGTGTATAGGGCGCTCTGGATTGTGGGGAGCGCAGTCATTTTTTGATGGGGTTGGAGGCTTAAGAGCGCGTCCTATGGTGCGGAAAACACGGTATGATATTTTCACGATATACATCTTGCCGTACGATATTTATTATGATATTTTGTGGAGGCAGACAAAACTGTTAATATGCTACTTTTTTCTCTTAAAATGCCTTAACAAGACTTAATCCAAAGAACTAAGACTTAAAAGTGCTTAGAACTGTTATTCCTTCATGTAGTCTACACTGAAGTGGAGCAAAGGATCATGGTCTATGTAGTTCCCTCTGTCTTTTTTAGCTATTGCTGCACTGTAACTCTTAATTTAAGCAAAGAGACTTGTGATTCGATATATTGTGAAGGTCCACGATATTATTGTGAAAACTCTGACGATACAATATCACGATATTTGGGTTATTGTTACATTCTTATTCAAAAGAAACCATTTTCTATGTAATGTTCAGTTAAGTCCTGGTGAAGAGGTCCTGTTTTCAGTCATGGTTTAGTCTAGAGTTATAGCTCATTAGTGCCAATTTTGATTTATTGTCTAATCAAATGTGCTTTATACCCAAATTCCATTAAGTTTCTAATTATATCTGTGCCTTTCAGTTTTGTCATATTTCTTCGCAATTTGCAACAAAGCAGCACCCAAATTTCCTCCATAAACAGCAAAATACCTGGTCTTTTCTGCATAAAAACTGCTAACACTGCAGTTTACATCTGCATAAAATGTTCTGAAATGGGATTCTTGTCTCCTGTCAGCTCATATTTCAGTATTTTTGTCAAATCATCTGGATGCAATAAAAATGTGGACTTTGAACAGAATCCTATTATAAGAAATGTATTAAAATGCTTGGAGGGAGGGGTTTACTTTTAGTTTGTAGTTAGTTTAGTTAGTTTTTGTGCTTGTTTTTGTACAAAACTCGCCCGATGACAATGGTGACATGTGTGTGGAAATCCCTGTTGTTTATCTAGCAAACAAACTACCTCACTTTGCATTGCATAGAGGATTAACACCTAACACACACAGCAATAGAGGGAGCATTTATTTGTAAAGGAATGCCTAAGTGGAAGAACGGGCTCGATGCCAAATATTTTAATCCAGTGTTTTGGCTCCTCTACGAGGAAGCCATTTTGGTCAGGGCGTGGCTGAGTATAACCTGGTATTAGTCATAATAACTAGACACATGTGTTAAAGGGACAGTTTTTGGATATAGGACCTCATTTTCTAGTTAACCAGAGTGTGGAGACACTTTTTAAAATATTTCATCCAGTGCTTGTATTTGCAGAGGTCACTGGTGCTGGGCTAATGCATGTCAATGGCCATAGTTAGTCACTCCACAAAGCACCCGAAGCAAATCTGTTATTACACCAAACTGTCTATGTGTATGTCTGCGTTGATAGAATCTTATTAGAAGTAAAACGAACCTTGCATTTGAAGGATTTATGTCTGAGCAGCAGCAACGAGTTGTACTTCCTGATAGAAAGCTTGGCAGCGGCAGACTGATATATGAGAAAATAGTCCCTCAACATGTGACGATTCATGCGATGTAAGGTTAGTTTTATTTCAAACATTATTCTATCGACACAGACATTTACATCGACAGTCTGGTGTAATAATAGATTTGCTTCAGGTGTTTTGTGGAGTGGGTAAGACTGTTTTTAGTGGCAGGATAACTATGGCCATTGACATGCACTAGCCTAGCACCAGCGACCTCTGCAAATACAAGGACTGGATGGAATATTTAAAAAAGTGTCTCCACATGTGTCCAACACTCTGGCTCACTAGGAAATGAGGTCCTTTGTCCAAAATTCCAGACTGTTCCTTTAAGTAGTTGTAATCATGTACTGCAAGTCAAAATCACTGCAAATGTTAACAGTGCATTGTGTAACTTTTCTGATGGAGGGTCCGTCAGACGCTTTTAGATGTTATTGCGCTGTCTGGATTGTTTCACAGTATCATTCATGGAGACTAAACCAAACCAGACCAAGTTACAGGTCAGATCTGTGGAGAGGCAACCCCTGCTCACAGTTCTAGATATTTTTAGCTCTAAAACCACCTGTAATTGAATAAATGTAAGGTAGAGCTGTTTAATGTCATATTGTGGGACATTCCTGGCACGGCAGTATCATACACATTCATAGAAACAAGCAGGTGACAAACCCCCAACCAAAAAGTTACACAGTGCACCTTTAAAACTTTCATGACAAACATTTTAAAGACCAAAATATAGCAGTGCATGTCAGTTCTTTGTCTCCAATACTGTTTAAATGTAAGAATCAATTAGTCCCATTGACTGTAGATGATGGAAACCCACAGAATCCATACACCACTGATGCTGCATACATTAAAAAAATAGAAATCAGACTGAGAAGACTCCATCTAGTGGTAAGAAAAGCTCAAGATTTTGTTTATAAGCCATTAGTAGACTACATGTGGTTTTAGGAAGGTGTTTTTTCTCATTTCTTTGTCTAACTATACCCAACTGCTTGTCTAAGTTGTCTTAATTTTACTCAGACATTTTCAGAAAAGCTAAAATCATACAAATGCAACGTACAAAGTCTTGCCTATTATGCTGAATCAAAGCTGCAGATAAAAGAAAGTTGTGAGTCAACACCCCATGTGCAAAAGACAGTGTGAGTGGATTACAAACTGTTTACACCCAAATGAGTAATACGTGTTTGCAAAGTTGTATTTTGCACGTTTGAAAATAGCAGCTAAAGTTGTTATAAGGATTCTGTCTGTTAGTTTGCAGAATAGTAAGTCTTTACCCAAAGCTTTTAACACTTCGACAAAACAGCTCTGAAGCCTGAAGTTGTGAGTTTTAACCGGGTTGACAGAGCGCTGGGGGAAGGGTCTGTGGGGAGGGGTTGAGGGGGGCAACATGGGGTCACTCCGGAGAAGCAGAAGGAGAAGAGGGGGTCGACGGACCGAGAGAAAAGAAAGGAAGGAAGCTGTGGAGGAGAAGCAGCAAAGCCCAAACCAGCGCAGGAGAGACGGGGCTGTGAACACGGGGTTGGGGGAGGGACTGGAGCCTGCTCGCTGCTCATTGGTGGCACCAGACCTCTCGCTGGATGGATTGACTTCGCACGGGTCGAATTACACCATTTGCCGTGCATTAGTTTGTTTTTCTCTGAGCCAGCCAGTGGAGAGAAGTTCCGACGCGCTTTTTGGATTACTACGACGCTAAACGAGGATACTAAACTTTCAAATGAGGTGAGTTGCCTTACGACTGCGTGGATTTGCAGGCGGGTTTCTTCATTTTGCATGGTGAAAGTGGAAATCCTTTTCTTCGCTTTGAGAAACTAAATATTTCTGGTGACTGTGGCTGTTCAGCTCTGCAAAAGCGCGCAGGACCGAAATAGTTGCGACTATTTTTACGCTACGTTCATTCATTCCTTATAGGACTTGCCAGTAAGACTCGCTATGCTCTTTTTCACAAACCTGCAACCTTAAAATAAGACAGGAAATTATCTTATATTTATTAATTATCCCTATTTCTGAAGAATAACTCGTATTTGCAATTACAACTACTTTGCAATAGGCGTGCGTAAAGGCGTGCAGATCCTTGCAACTCACATTGAACCATAATAAGCGTAACCTTTATGACTTTAGACTGTGTACGACTCCATTTAAAGCCCCGCGTGTCACTGGGTGCAAGTTTATGAAAACATTAAATTTGAATATTTGAGTTAATGGTTAATCTGTGTGTGTATACAAAGCGAGTTGGCGGCAGAGTATAGCAGTGCGCGTCGTTAATGTTTATGTCTTTTCCCTCTGCTTTCCCAAAGTTAATAGTAGTGGAAAGGGAGAAGAGGAGAGAGAGAGAGAGAGGGAGAGAGAGAGAGAAAGAGGGGGAGGGTGGCTGCCGCTGCTGCTGAGGTTTTTTTGAAGATCAGTCATCGTCAGAGCGCAGGGAGCCGAGTACGAGGGCGGACGGAGCGCAGTCAGTCCGGGAGAGCCAGAGAAAAACAGGGAAACGCGAGCGGAAAACCAGAACCCCGTGCGCAAAAGTGGACCAACAGCCAAACCAAACGAACGCATGGATGTTCTCTTATAAGGATTTACACTTATTTACGCACTGGTCTTTTTAATGGATTACCAGAGGAATATAACATTGTGGAGTGGCCGATTCATGAGTGGATTTTCAAGGTAGGTTTTGAAGTGAAATGTACCTGATAAGTTTAAAGTTAAATACGCAAGGTCAAATATTTATCCACAAACAAAGACAGATGTAGATGATATTTTTATTTAGATTTAATTTAGACTTTGTGCGCTTGGCTTGGGTATCTATACTCCTTGCTGCTTTCTTGTAAGAAAAGTGCATGTTTTTCCTTCACTTTTTAAGAAAACCTTTGTGTTTTTGTGTGTGTTAGGAGTATACTTCGTGTCAGATGTTTTAACAGAGGGTTCTGTGTTTTTGATTGGATTAGACGCCTTTAAAAGCAACTTCAAATCTCTGTATCTTCTTGCCTAAAATAAACAGACTCAGAGATATCTCCAAACAATAGAAAGACGAGCTCGAGATTGGCAGATTTGCACGTGAACTGTCCGTTTCAGTTTTACGCTTTTACGCACGGTGCATTCGCGGTTAGGTGTTTACTACTATCAGTAATAACAAACGTGGCTCGCGCTCGTAACCTTTAGGAGCCAGTCCCAGCCCTGCCCTGTGCTGTGCTGAGCCGCGTTCACTGCTCCCTCCTCTGGCTCTCCACATCAGCGCCCTGTTGTTGACACTGCACCGCTGTCCCTCGCGCCTTTGTTGTCTTTTGTACGAGTCCAACATGTGGACTAAAGGGGGCTGAATAGGTTTAGTACGGTGCAGAATCTGAATGCTTTCACTCCCCTGATGTCCACACAAAAGCGAGGCATTATGAGCGACTCGGTGAATACGCAGCACCGGAGATCCACGCGTAAAACTTAGCCACGGGAGCCAAATACAGTAATATCGTAAGTTTCATCTGCACTTGTTGAGCAAAACGTAGATCACAGACAGAAACGTGTTGGTAATCATGTACTGCTTTTACGCAAGGATGAGCACAATTGTATTACGCAGCACCCAGCTCTACCCCAAGGGCTTTTTCCCAAAGTCCCGTGCGTGTTTCAAAATCTCGCTGGTGTGAATCTTGAAACAGAACAGGGCTCGCGTGAATGTCAAAACATCGGAGAGGTTAAAAGGACTTTCTTGTATATTAACGAGCAAGAAACGCGTGCTTGTTTGCGCTGTGTTAAAAGTGGCACAGTTATCCGTCAGTGTGCCGGCTGGAGTGCTCTCTGTGTTGAAATTGGCAGTGCGTACCTGTTGTAAGCAGTCATTACTTAATATTACTCATTTGAGCCGTGCCCATGTTTTGATATATTGTTGCGGTATTGTTAAGTAAGCAAAGGGCACGTCTATATTTGGGAGCTGATTTGAAATAAGTTGTTTCATCTTTGTTTGTATGGGTTAATATCACCAACAGAGCCGCCTCAGAGCCCATAATAAATGACCTTTCCCGTGTTGGCTCTTTATAGAATGAAAGGCAGGGGTTGTTTCTTTAATCTTGGTGCCAGATGTGCGCATCTGGAGAGCCTCAGATCCTTTCCAGAGACCAACAAGGCTAATTACCCCAAAATACAGGCTTTATACAGAGCGGCCGCCCGGTCACCACCAGAGCGCGGGTACGGGCTCCAGCTGCTGTTTGTGTGTGTCACTGCACTTCAGCGGTCAGTGAGGGTCAAATCCAAGTGACCGGAACCACCAGAATTAACCCCGTATTAAACCCGTCGCCTTTGTAACATTAGGCACGATGAACCTTTCCCTTAACGTGATTGATTTGATTATATATTTTCCATGACTGTACTTAAGCAGTTGAATCATAGTGACCAAAAGACCCACCAGAATAAACTCCATATTAATCCTAGTGCTTTTCTCTTTTAACATTTGGCAGTATTAACATTTCTCTAACTGTGAAAAACGACACTTTTGATTATATATTTTCCTTCAACGCTTTTAAAAGGCAGCTCAGTGTGAGAACCAAGTGACAGGAACCACCAAAATTAACTTCATATTGAACTTATAGACTATAAATACTAGTAAATTTGACTCAGATCTTGTATTGTCTGTTTTTGATTATATATTTACCTTAATTATACATAAGCAGCCCAATCCTAATGACCAAAAGAACCACCAAAAGTAACGCAACATTAAACCTATAGTCATTTTTATAGTAAAGAGGCAGTATTTGTATAGAAAAACTTTATTTTTGGATTGTTTATCTGCATTGACGCGGTTAGTAAGGCTCAGATTCAACTGTAAACCCAAGTTAACCCTGATTATCTAAGCTGTAAAATGTAAAATGTCATGATCCTGAAAATAAATACAAAAACTGTGTCTATAATTTGAGATCTTTTTGCTTGTTTCATGTGAGTTGGAGTAATCGTCTGTCAGTTTTTGGCATAGTTTCTAGGTATCTGTTTTAAAAATTGAGTAGCTGTCAAAAATAGTGATAGGACAACATAAATTTAAGTCAAAATATGTAAGATTGTGTATTAAATTGCTGTTTGGGATGAAAACAAGTCTGAAAACTCACTTTACCTTTTAGTGGAGAGATAATCGGATAATGATTAACTGTACTACTACTACTTTTGTTTCCTGTACTGTGATTGTAAGCAGTTCATACAACCTTTTTACCGTAACAGCTCGTATCTTTACACTTTCTTTTATCTCTGATTCAAACTTAATCTCCCATTTCATAAAAAAACGCTTCTGTTTTGTAGCACATTTGGAGTTAACATGCTATGACTGCTTATGGCCTGTTTTGCCCAATAGCTGCAGAGCCTTCCCTTTTTTTACCGGGGGTGGGGCCCTATTGTGGAGATGTACCCAAAAGCCCCCTTTGTTCACGGTCACACCTGCAACTCAGCTCACTCTTTGTATTAGTCCACGGCTGAACTCCTGCTCAGAACTGCCTTTCTCCTCTTACAAATGAAATCAGGTTTAGGGGTGGTACCGCAATCTTTCCTGGGTTTTTCTCGTGCCAAAGATCGCGAAGAAGCAACAAGTTCAAGCTGGTTAACAAGAGAGGGAAGTGCTAAATTGGCAATGATTGGGGTTAGTGCGTTTTAACCACTCGCAAGGGGGGCTGTTGTAATCATTTCTGGAGCTGGGCGCTGGCTAATTACTGGGCTGACTCGGTGCTTGCTGGTGATGAATCTTGATGACTTTTTAGGCAATTCTCGCAACTCAACATCTTTGGAAATGTGGTCCCGGCTTAACTGACATAAGCGGGCACACCCAAAATGATCAGTACATGGTGAAATAGGGAAGGACAATTGAATAAAAGAGATTGGATGTTATCGTTAATGGTGAAACAGCCCGGCGGCGCAAGGTGGGATATGATTTTGTGCTAATCTCATGTCTAGACAAGTGGAGAAAATTGCGTTAGGAAGGGCATCTGACAGAAAAATTACGTCAAAACAAAGTGCAAATCACTGTCCGCAAGGAAGAAGATGATTTTAACGAATATAGAAGAGAAGTTAGAAAAGCAAAGATGATTAGAGGTTCAAAACGCTGGTTGTAAGACTTGATAAGATAGAATTTGTTTTGTTTTATAACTACTACTTTGTTGTGTTGTCAAGAATATTTGGTTAGACAAAAATCTGGCTCATAATATAATGATAAGACCTAAAAAATAGCAAGTGGGATAATATTAAAATCTGACTGAAGTACTTTTTTTTTTTTTTTTACTCACATCAGCTTTACCTGTGCAATAAGAAAGCTGGATTTCATATAGCTGGTCTCATCTCATTTGTGCAACTTCTATGACGGACGGTCCTCTATTTCCTTGTCTTCGAGATGTTATTTCTTTGCATGGAATGTTCCAAAGTACGGCATTAAACAAATCTCCTTGCATTTGTTAATTTCTAGGTGTTTAATAGCTCAAAAACACCCTAAAAACACAATTTCTTACCATGTGCAGGCTTGCTTCTCCATAGATCTGACCATAAACCTGTCTCTTTACTGCGATTTTTAAGTTTATTTCCAGACATTTTAACATCTAAAGGTCCACTGCCCAAGTTCTGCAGATAGACTGAGGAGAGTATTGGCAATTAATGATTATAATGTAATTAAGACAATATATATAGTGAAAAAATATTGTTGTTTTTAATTCTCCATGGAGGTAAACAGACAAACAAACCCTTTTCCTGAAAAGAAAAGTTACACAGTGCATCTTTAAGGAATGGTGATCTATTCGACACTGTGACGTGAAAAAAACTAAGGATTTCGCAATCGTTTGGCCGTAATGTCAGTCATCGTGAATTAATGTTAAATCATCACGTTTCTTTTTCCGATAATTGTAACACTTATGTCTGATATCATGACACCCTTGCTTAACAATACCCATTTAAGCACCCTAACTCCATGTTTGCGTTTGACACCTCCACGTCGCGGGATGCCTCCACTCGTTTGACCCTTCTCACTTGCCGTAGACATGGCAGAGGTGTGTGAGGGAGGTAAACTGAAGCCCGTGTTATCTTATATCCTCCTCTGTTAGGATTACAGCTCATTGCGGTGCTGGATGACAAGTGGAGCAGCCCGGAGCAGCCCTGGCCTTTGTTCAGCCTGGATTACATTCGCACAAACCTCACGCACTGCTGCTGTTTGCCATCTTTTATTGCTCCCATCAATTCAGATTTTTTCACAAACAAACGCGACACAAGCCAGCTTCGACAAGTATACGTGATAGTGTGTCACCTCCGAAGTTTAGCTGTATTCTGTAGGAATCATCAGCTGTCTTTCCCATAGATTCTGATAAGATTATAGTGCCACAAATTATGATTTCATTGAATTCAGTTTCAAGAGTATAAATGTCACTTACTGCATATATTTAATCTTTAAGCAGTTATTGTAGTGCAGTATTTTCAGTTCATGATGATACAATGAGCAACAAAGTCTAATTTTGTTGGTTGTCAGGTTTGCCAGGTTGTTTTGAGACTACGGCTACGTCCACACGAGGGGTTGAAAAAAATTTGCGTCCACACACGTGTCGGATCAATAAATACTCACGTCCACACGACAACGGAGTGAAAACAATGTAATACATATGCCACACCTATATGTGGCGCTGTAAACCAAAAGTCCTTCCTCTTCCGCAACAAACAAACACAAG